ACAAGGACGATTACAGTCGAGACGTCGATCAGCACCACGCATGGGCTGAGAGATCAAAGACTACAAAGCACAACTCCTCCTTGATGCACTTTCTCAGGGGGGAAGAGTGGGGTAAGGGGGAAGGGAGAAAGAGAGAAAGAGAGAAAGAGGATTATTTCAGCACACCAAAAATTCGACAGCAGGTAGTGAGCACGGCTGGATACCTACGTGATGCCCAGATACATCGTATCCGGGTGTAGGAGTTCAGAGTCAAAGCGGAGTATACAGATGTTTCTGCATTCATTTATTTATTTATTCATCCATATAGAGATGAACAGCCCAAAAGAATGCGCACGTGCTTCCTCCGCATACATCAGTAAGCAGCACTTTCGCCGCAGGGAGTAAGGGGGTGGTGGGAGAGGGAGAGGGCGGGAGGGGGGGTGCGTCGTGGCCACTAGTGATGATCCTGCTACTCTGTCAAGGTGTCAGTATTCGGATTCCTCCATTGCAGGCGTTCCTCCGCTTGCGCTTCTTGCTGAGGTGGGAGTGTACCGAGTCAATCTCTGAGACTTCTTCAGGTGATCTCCTCTTCCCGCGGGTCTGTGGGTAGCGCTTTGCCAATGGTTGCGCAGAGACTGGAGTGGCGAGGATCGGTGGCTGGCTGCTCTGCTGTGACGCTGGTCGTAGAGGCTCACTAAGCGTGATCCCCCGCATGGCAGTGCCGACGTCTAGTGGTTGTGCCGCTGCCTGCGCATGGTTCGTGGTGCTGCGACCGCTGTTCTCTGCTGTTGCCGCTGGCGATCCGGCTGCCCTCAGCTGCTGCGCCTGCTGTTGGATAGGTTGTTGTTGCCGCTGCTCAGCATGCTGCACGACCCGATCTGCTTCCTGGGCCGGGGGCTGCGCTGGAGCAGCTGCTGGTGCTGCCGCCTCGTTGCCTCTGTTCGTAGCTTGAAAGTTGAGCCTACCCTGGCCAGGAATCAGGGCGATAGGGTTCCTGTTCCTGGGAGCTTGGACCACTTTCCTTGGTCTGTCAGGTATCCTCCTCGGAAGAAGCAATCTCACAAGTGCTGGCGGGAGCTGATGCCTCCATAGCCTCTCATCTCTGATGACTGACTCAGCCGTATGCTGCGGATCATGCTCCATTGCTTCGATGAAGTTCATCATGATCTCCCTTACGAACAAGAAGGTAATGCAACCGATCACGGCCTCCTGCCACGTGTTTCTGAGGTAATGGACCAACATCGATGTTCTTACCTTTATGGATGACATCGTGGGGAACAGGACGTCCGGATGTGCCAAGAGGTACCAAATGGCATGGTCAAGCCACAAGGGACCGCCGGGGCAGTCCTTGTCTTCCTCACCTTGCTTGCAGCTGCACTTGAGGTAAGGTCTGCCCGCGCTCCATACTTTTTGTAAATTCCTGAGGTCAAGTGTTGGCGGCTGTTTAATGGCCTTGTGCCACATGACCGGAGTGGAGTCGCCGCACTTGTCCGGGTCCACGTAGCTCATCAGGGGGAAGGCGAGATCACTGGGGGCAAATGGATTAACCGATTTGCCACAGTACTTCATCTGCGCCGTGTATGCCCGTGCTCGACATTTCCTCACCTGATCATCCATGAGGCCGGCTAGGAATTGGAAGGCCTTCACTTAGATGGGAGCCAGGTGGTTGTAAGTGTCAAGCTTCCAGACACGGTGTCTGAAGGTAGTTGAGGTGTGCTCTACCCATCGCTGCGAGGTTAGCGGTGCAAAGGCTGTGAACTGTCTGGAGGAAGTGGATGATCGTCCTGGTCTAGGAGCAGCGACTCTCCTCTGTGTGGGCTGGTGTACAGTAGCGGATATGGTGCATTTCGGCCATCTCATCCTCATTGAAGTCGAAAGCCGCGCATCCAGCGGCTTGCAAGGGCTGGGGGGGAGCGGGTTGTTGTGCAGGTGGGTCTCGTGGGGCGGTTGGTGCGGCTGGGACAAGGTCTCTTAGATGTGAGTCGCTCAGTCCCCATGCTGCTAAAAAAATCTGTTCTACTCTCGCCTCCCTCTTAGCCAGCTCGGTGCACTCGCGGGCATAATCCCCTTTCAGCCATTCCAAGTTAGTCCCTAAACGCTCTACCTCCCCATGGAACCCCGTCGGATCGCTTTCCCACGCCATTGCCAACTTCGCCAGATCATTGAACCCGATCATCTCAAAGAAATTGGGGAACTGCTTGGTTTCCAAGACTTGCTTGATGACTTTCATTGTCTCAGTCTTCATGCAGGTGATAAGGGCTTGCGCGGGCTTACTGGGGTACGGGCACTGTTCGAGCCAGGGAAACCTTTTGGTGATCTCGCTCCACCAACCTCCTAGGAAATCTTCATTCGGCACAACCTGTAATCAACAAGGAAACGAGAAGAACACGAACGAAGGGGACGGAAAAAATGGAGGGGGAGGAAGGAGGAAGACGGAGTAGTAGGCAGGCAAGGACCACTGGCGATCATTACTCTACTGTCATCCGCAGCCAATACAGAACGCCAAACTCTATTCTTGCCCTTTTCGATGTCATCGCCTTGCCTCACTTATCCTAACCACTTACTTCGCGTCCCGCTGGTGCGGCGTCTAAGCAGTCCGAGGTGCGGCTGACAGGGACACCCATTGGCAGCGCTGCGAGGAAGATCCCACTCGTGTGTGTTTTGATGTGTACGCTTAAACGCACGCCATGGCACGTTTCGCTATGCCAGGCATACTGCTCCGGTGACGGATCATCGGCACACCTCCTGCTTAGGGATAGATCGCAAGTATGGTAGATCTCCATCTTTTGTGGCGAAAAAAACATCTACTCGGGTCTTCGAGAGATCCGGCGTGTCAAGTATCTTTGCTGCTATCCTGTGATAGACCTGAGTGCTAGTGTGTGCCCCAGGATCTCGCTCGTTGGCAACCAAGGCTCATGATCGTTCATTGAGTCCGCTTCTTTATTCTACGTCATTCTACTCCCGTTCTACGTATTGGAAAAAAGTTGTCGGGGGTCAGGTTAGTCCCGATCTGTCGCTCAAAGGACGGAGCGCGAAAAGTAATGACGGGAGGACGACACAAACAAAGCAATGGAAAGGGGGAGAAAAAAAGAAGAAAGGAAGAAAAGAAGTCCAGGAGGAACCACTCATCAATCTCAAGACGTAGTCTGCTATTATATCCCAAGAACGCAGTCTCCCGCGGGTTTTGTAAATGGTAAGTGAGCAGAAGGGTAGATCTTTATGGGTTCGATGCGTCCCGCTCACGCTCCCTTGCTTCAAAGGTAGACCCAGGATGAACGTAGATAAGATGCGATCCTCCTTTGGCTTCCCTATCGCCGGGGGGGGAAATTAAAAATAAAAATAAAACGAAATATAAAATAATAATAACAACAAAAGATGAAAGGTAAAAAGTGAACAGGGAGAAATAGAATTTTAGACTTCGAAAAACGGAGACCCATATCCTGCAAAAAAATTCCTTTGTTGGTTTCATTCTCCCTGATAATGACAGCGATTTCCTCTGGAGGTTGCTAGAGGCCCGTGATGTAGTAATGAATCTGACCAGCTTCCTTCCCAGAACAGGTTCCTTTCAGTTTTTTTCTTTCAGATCCTATGGCGTGAGAAGCTACTCATCCTGGCTATAGAAAGAAAGGTGCAAACCCATAAGAGGAGAAAGGTTCGGAGGTGGAGACGTTCCGGGGGGAAGGGTGGGATATTATGCATACTGCCAGGCGTTTCCTATTACGGCCCCTCCTTTTTCATTCGGGCGGTACGCTCAGCCTGGGCGGAGTAGCCATACCCAAGGGTTGATCGGTTGGTAATGATGGGCATGCGTCCCTGCCAGGCCCTTGGGTCATTACGCCATCCGGCCCGTGCATACTGAATAGAATAGAGTAAAAAATAAAAAATAAAAAATAAAAAATAAAATAAAAAATAAAAAATAAAAAAATAATAAGAAAAATGATGAAAACAAGGTAAACAATATAAAATAGGACTCGACCATCATCTGTCACAGGGAGCGTATCAGGTGTTTCTCAGGTTAAGCCTCCACTATATCCCCGGGCGCTTTGCTTTGTTGGGAATTTTCCTTTTAAGATTACATGTACTCGATTACTACTGTTGATCGCGGTATTACAGTTCCTGGTCCGTGCAGGGGCTATGTATTAGTTCGATGCGCATGCCGTGCGTAGGTGGCATGGAATCGATCATATCACTCCATAACACGCTCGTCTCTTTTTGGGCGTCCAATCATCTCGATCGTACTCAAGCAAGGCTCCCTACGAAAGATTTACATATATAAAAAAACAGAAGAGGTAGGCGGGATGCATCAGGGAGATCGGAGGTATCTGTTTCCCTTCGAAGGGTCATGTCGCGGAGGGGGCGCCACAGAGTTTCCTGGAACTCATGGTGCACATTCATCCGATCTCATCTCCGTAAAGTGATTATACGAGGGAATAAACAACCATGTGAGATAAGGGCAAGGGGGATCACTTTCGTTGGTGGTGTCTGGTCTCCCGAAGAATATGCAGCAAGGAGCCCATTCATTTCCCCCTTTTTTTTTAAAATAAAGGGGAGCGACTGAGCTTCTCACCACACTGCTCCCTCCGGAACCCAAGGTGCGGGAGTGCATTCATTCCGATCGCCTTTAAGCACTGCCACCCACAGTGGGTTTCGTCATACGAATACCAAACGGCACTTATCACCAAGGTCTACGGCAACCGTGCTTCCAAAAAAACAAGTAGCGAGAAACAACTTCCCACTAAAGGAAGTACCTGAGCTTCTCGCCACAACGCTTCTTCGGAACTCACGGTGCTATAGTCCATCTTCCTCGACTATTCCTAAGTAAAGCACGAAAGACARAAAATCATTCTTCAGCAAAGCATCGAGAGATTAATACACTCGAAAAGACAGAAAACACTCTGATCACTCTTAAGCAAAGCATCTTACGAAAGATTGATACACTCGAAAAGACAGAAAATCCTCTGATCACTCTTAAGCAAAGCATCTTACGAGAGATTGACACATTCGAGAAGACAKAAATTCAYGCAAAAACCCGGCAGTGCTTATTTCCACAGGCTGAAAAAMAGCCAGTTACCACCGTCTCRGAGCCAAGGTTGCCTTAAGCAAGGAAKRGAGGTGAGAGAGGSAGAGAGAGAAGAAGATAGTCCTGCACCGTGCCGCAATTGGTYCTGTTACCGCTCTGAGGCGAGAGAACCGTCAGCASATCCACARGAGGGAGTKGCAGTTCCCTGAGGCCTTTCTGYCGCKTGMCACACGCGGCTTCATCAGAGGGGGGACGAAGGAGGGAGGGAGAGAGAGGGGAGGAGGAGAGCAAGGTGGAGGTCTTCAAGATCGAGCGGGGGAAGGAGCTGCGAAAGAGGGGGCGAGAGGAGCGGGCGGGAGAGAGAGGGCAGGAGGGGGGAGAGAGATCCATAACGTGGTTACGAGCATGGAAAGAGAGAGAGAGAGTGCGCGAGCGTGCCCCCTTTTTTTCTTTGAGGGCGCCTCCCCCGTTTCTCTTCAATCTAGCTTGCTAGCGCTTGAAGCAGAAGTATCCCGCCGGTCGTTGCCGCGCACGCTGCGCTTGCTAGGAAGACGGCTGCGTAGGCGATGGAGAAGTAGATGAGCACCGTTGCGAGCTTTGTTGGGGCGAGGACTCTCTCCGTTTGGCAAGCCCAGACGAGAGTGCCACTGAGGAGCGCATTGGGGATGAATGCCATGGCGAGTGTAGAGGCGTTGAAAAGGATGCGCGCCGTCCTATGTGACTCAGGTTTGGTGGCCGGTGCAGCGCAGGGGGGCTGATCGTGGTAAGGGCAGGGGTGGTAGTCTGGGTGATGGTGGCGGGGGGAAAGAGATGGAGGTGCGG